TTTTTTTTTTTTTTTTTTTTTTTTTTTTTATACAAAACTCGTGACGCGTGATTGTTTTATGAATCTGTAGAATGCACTGGCACAGAATACATTGGCACCTACTAGATGGCATAGACAAATTATTCGAAAGAATTGTAATTTTTTTTGTATTTATGAGGCATATTTTCTGTCAGGAAGCACATTATCCCGTTTTATTCCATGTCGATAATTGTATAATAATAATGTTTAACAAAAAAAATTTATTTTTTATTTTTCATACGAAACTAACATAGCATCCATTGCTGCTTTACTTATAATTAATGCACATTTCCATAGTTTGCATGCATAATTTGTACATGTGTACAATAGTCTGATATGAAGAATCAAAAAAATTCCTATAACGAAAAAAAAATTCTTATAAGATAGCGCTGTAGTTATAATTCTCTCGAAAGATTTCTTATCTTTAAATAACTTTTTCTTATTTTTAAATAAGAAAACTTTTTTTGGATTTTATTTTAAGATAGAAATTGATGTTTTTCATTAAAGTCCGTTTTTTATTTTAAAATAAAAATTAATTTAAAACAAAGATTTAAAAAACGTCTTGAGAAAATATAAGAAATGATATTAAGAATGTTCATATTTAAAAATATTGTAAAAGAATGTAGCCGAGTTATCGTGCAAACCTTGACAAAATAGTATAGATACATATATTAAGAAAAACGTGCAAACGCACTTGACTTGCATGTATTTGTTTATCGCATACATGCTTACATTATCCGTAACTTTATCAATTTTGTGACGAGAAATTTTTTACATACGACTATATAATAAATTAGGGGTAGTCAATCCTTTTGTCTAGCATGGAGGTTCGCGAAATCTTTAGTACTCTTTTATAGAGTATTTTACTTTTATAGAATCTTTTAAACAATAAATATCGTACTCTTAATCATACTTTCTTCTCTTGCATTGAAAGTAAAAAAATTTCGTTTGTTTAATAAAGTTTATTTTACTGAGTTTTGCTTTATATTAATCATTTTAAAAATAGTTTACCATAAACATGAACAGAACAAATGTAATTAAAGAGTATAAAAACTAGATTTTTAGTGAAGTACAATTGCCATTTTATCATGTCATTTTTTATTTTATTAATTTTTAATTTTTGACAGCTTATGCTTGTTTAAGCAGGTCATTGACTGAGAATGTCTTTGTGTGTCACTAATAACAAGCATGTCACGGTTTGGCCACATGTGACGCGATTTGCTAATGATATTTAATAGATAATTAAAAAATTTTTTTTCTCTCAAAAATTAATTATCTCTGTTACAAATCGATATCTAACGTCGATAATGATTTATACGGGCGCGTCTTACGCTTCTTTTTGAGAACTTGTAAAGACTCCTTTTTTGTATTTTATAACGATCCGACTATATTAAATAAAGTTAAGTTTTTTTCAAGTACATTAATCGTGACGTTATTGTTTTCGATTATCTCGACATTGCAACAAGAGGATCTCCTTAAAAGGATCTCAAACCGAATTCTAACAGCATCGCTATTTTATCAATGCGAAATGTGACTTCCGTATGATTTACAAATACCGATAAATACACATTCTTGTATATTATATTTATATTGCACGCACAAATTTGAATAAATTTTTGTAATACATTTTCGTATCGAATTTTAGTCTAATTTTAAGAATTCAACATTGTTTTGTTCGAGTAAAATGTAAACTACCATAAATATATAATTTTATCCAAATTGTTTTTATTATTAAGCAAATGTTGCGACTTGACAATTGTAGACGTCATATTGGACTAAGAAATAGTAAAGATCTCAATTTAAAAAATTTTTGTCATTTTTGGCATTTCTTGTGTGCTAGTATTAACGCCTATACTTTAATTCTGGAAAATGATTTTCAAATCTCTAAAAATAATATCGATATCATTCTACGAAAATTATTATTGTTTAATCAGTAAAACAACAGTAACAGATGAAAGTTGGCTATGTGGAATTTTGTTTCTCTATTAAGGTCTTCGAGCTTCAGTGCAAATTTTATATTTGGTCCCGACTATATAAAAATCTAAAAAGAATTTTAAAAGCTTTAACAATTAGCTTTTACTATCATAAAAATCGGATTTATTGTATTTTATTTATTTTTTACAAATTTAAATTTAAATTTTCTGCCGGAATTCACAATCAAACTATTGACTGTGCTTTCAATCAAAATGTTGATGATTAACATTTTCTACGAATTAATTTTTAATCTATTATAAAAAGAAACTTTATTATATTGTAGTAAAGCGTTATTTTTATTCATGCGATCTCCTCTGTTATATGTTTGAAATATGATAAGATTTACATACTTATGAGAGAAAAGTTTACTAAATCGCCGCAATACATGGTCTGTAAATAGTTGGAGAATTGAATGACAAATTAAGCAAAATACTAGTATAATTGCAAATTAGCGCAAATTGGAGATTGTTACAAGAGAAGGAGTTGGTGGATGTATATGTGCACGCAAGTATCTTCGTCTTGTTGAAAGTTAACGAACGCAGAGTAGCGGCTCGTTAACGAACAGGGATTCTCTTCATCCTACCGGATCGTGTGCCAGAAAAGAAAATATTCCATCCTCGGTTCCTCTTCCTCCACCATTTTCACTTTTTTTTAACTTGTCGCTCGTCGCAGGCTCACAAAGCGCCTCATTAGTATAATTTTTTTCGATGCCACGTCGCGTCGCGTCGACGCGAAGGTTTGGTTTGCGCGCTAAATGTATCCGTAATTTTGACAACAAATTGTTTCTGAGAAACGAGGGAGACATTTTACAAATGCCTCGAAATAAGCGAAGAGATTTCTAGTAATTATTAACCCGTGAAGATTCAGCGACTGTCGGAGAATTTTGCTGACGTTAATTTATATCTCGACATTAACGAGCCTGGTGAAAAAGGCAATATAGTCTCTCGCGTGAGGTGCAGAAATGCACCGTAGTGGAATGCACAGCAAACTTTGTTCACTCAGTAATTTACGAGCCAATTCAAATTGTAAACGCAACGCGCTTCGTTAGAAAAGTTCGCGCGGTCGAGATTTTGAAGCGCGAACCAGCGTGAATCTTTATAAACAATCTCCATAATAAATCATCATAGACACGTACACGGACTACATATATCTATATTTTTCTCTTTTTCTTTATTTGCGAAAATAAATACTGCCTAAATAACATGTAGAGTATAATCCTATTTTGTTGTAGTAATTTGAAAAATATGAGAAGATACGATATGCGAAGCGCAAATATTTTCCGAGCCCCGATATGGACTCTCGTGTAAAATTCCGCTTGACTCTGATCTCCAGTCGGGAAGTAAGAAAAATAACGCAACACGCGAGGTAAGAAAAATAACTGTGCGCCATATCGTCCAGTTCGATTTCGATAACGCGCGACGAGAAAAATATATCAGCGACAGTGCTTGCGCAAGTCGTTCACCCACCGGCCGGTCGACTATACTTCACTTATCGACAAGTGATATTTTCATCGTTTTTCGAATGACAACTTATCCCGGAAGATTAATCACCTCAATGCCGAAGAGGTGAGTTCTTTTTAAAATATGTAGCTTCGCGAAAAAGTTTCCCTATCCCTGTTTATATATTGAGTACTACGAATAGCCTTATTGCGCTCGCAATTTAATCCGACCGCGTAGAACGAAGCGACCACACGTGCGATAAGTCATTGCCCCTCTCTCTCTCTCTCTCTCTCTCTCTCTCTCTCTCTCTCTCCCCCTCTCGACAAGTAATATTTTTATATCGCTTCTGAAAGTGACGTCCTTCGAGAGAAGATTAATCGCTCACTGTCTAAGAGATGGAAAACTTTGGATGTTTGACATTTTGATATTATATTGCTGAGATGTACTCTTCTCCTTTTCTTTTTTTAAACTTGAAATATACCATACATAATAGTAAAAAAATATTAGGTATATTATTAATTAATTTACTTTGTTAAATATAGTCGATTTTCTTAATAGTGGAAAATAATATTATTTAATTTGATATATTTACCAATCCTTTGATTAATCTTTTCTCTTTGTAGAAATAACAATTATAATGATATATATAAAATGTTATGGTTTATATTAAAGTGATACAATATGTATTAACAAAGGAACTTTGTTTCTCTGTTACAGGGGCATCTTACAACAAGGCAGAAAGAATTACGACGAGGCGATTTTGAGTTATCAACGAGCCATTCATTTCCGACCTTCGTTAGCTCGTAAGTCCTTTAATTACATCTCCTTTTCCGACTTTAGTGACCAACGTCGTTGGCTTCATTAGCCAGGTTCTTGAGTCTACGATCATTCGTATAACTTAATATTTGAACGTTATTAACGCTTATTTGATGGATTCGCGTCGTTGCCGCTGATCGATCGTCGAATAATCCTTAACGTCACGAAAATATATACTATCCGTTTATACGCATCAGTACTAACATCTTTACGCGAAATGAAGACTGTCACAAATGTTTTATATTATTCAAACAGTGTTAATCCGTTATTGTTGACACTTATATTTAATTTGTACGCACTTCTTTTTATATCATCTGTGATTTTATTTGTGACGCAATCATTTTTATATAGACTTTATCGCTATTTATTTTTTTACATTTTTATACACTGAAGTACTACATTTACACATTCTCTACAAAATTTATATTTTTGTTATGTGAATATATTACGTTCACGAACGCATACCCAGATTTTTTCAGACAGTCTTCCAATTGCTTCGTGAGCAGTGTTTTTTTTTTTTTTTGTAAGAATTTTTTGTTTCTGAAGAGGATTCTCAATGAGAGAGAGAAAGAGATGCCAAATATATGTAGGCAAAATATAGGATATCATTAATTCTTATATGATCGATCAACGATTGAAATATAATATATTTTACGCATCAAGATCTTGGCTCTCATATATTATCTTTATTTATCGTATTATCTTTATTTATCGTAATTTTTACGATTTAAAGCCCTTTGGTTATATATTTTTTCTATTCTTATTGTTATATTTTTTTATCCGATATATTTATTAATTCTCTCAATGTTCTATTCTTTAATAATACGCTTATATCTTCGAACCTTTCTTACTCCACTATCACGTGTTTCGGCCATCATTTTTAATCAATATGATAATTAGAAATGTAAAATTACCGTGTGACAATTAATTATGATAAAAGATAATTTAGTAACTCGATAACTTTAGTAAAATTTATTATTTTGATAGTTTGATATGCACAGATGCACAGATTCTCTTTTCTGCACTAACGCATAAAATAAAACAACATTATTCTCCTATACGCATGCGCACTTGTTGCTGTATGCTCCAACATTTATTTACGCGTATTTCGCATGTTTTGTTTTTAATGTTGCCTCGATTATTCTAGCTACCCCCTATAATCTACTAACTCTGATCTCCCTTACCTGCTTATTTAATTTAAGAAATTTCTGAAATAAATAAATTTAATTTAAATCCCGCAGCATACTGAAATATTATGAAGATAGATGCATCTTTTCATAACAAATGAATACTACTAATATCAATATTTGATTCTATTCTACACAGTATTAAAATATTTATAGAGAATAAGTTAAATAAGCAATTTTACTTATTTTAAGGATAAATGCTCCTTTTGAATCTTATATCAAAATTTTTTTATTTCTGCAATTTTCTTTTAAATTATTGTTTTTCCAAAATTATCAAGTAATTTACCGTAACTTATCGAGTAAGTTATCATCATATTGAATCAATTTTTTTAACCTATAATTATAATTGTATACCATAGAGATACATATAGTAAAGTGGAACTGTAGTTAAAAATCGAGTTAAGTTGGTTCAAATTTCGATAAAGTCCAGACAGTATGCAAATATAAAAATTTGAATATAAGACATCTTAAAAACGTCTTAAAGACACTTTGAGTCGTTTTTAAGATTATTTTATGTCCTAATTTTGGACATGTAGGCATTTTTCTAAAATTTGGGCCAAAATTATCTCATTTTATAGTATTATCTCAACACTATTTTTTCGGTTTGCTTTACTTCTTGTGTAGTAAGCTCCCTTGGGTCCACATATATAGCCGTGCTTACCGTTAGAAACTGAAAGATCGGCTCGCGTCCTTAACAAGCCGCTTTTTACCCGGGAGACTCAGTCTTTATAGCCTTAGACTTGAAGGTGTACATCGAAAAGGATTCACAGGAGGCAAAAAGAAAAAAGCAAGGAGAGAGAAAGATGAGCGGCTCGTTTGTTACACGTATATCGATACAGTATGGACGATCTGCGATTTACTTTGGCCGACGTGGGAGCGGTTTGTTGCCGCACGAAATAGTTTGTCGTGTTACAATATCGATTTTATGGCTCCTTCACGTACCATTCCGAGGTTTCCAGTCCCCAGATGTTTTTCGTCCGTAAAGGGCGATATCGGTACTAACCCAAAAGCGCAATTGGTACTATGGGCACATCTGCAGCGTGAAACGGAACACAGAATGCAGATTAGATTTCGACGCTTTGCGTGCACGAGGTGCCTCGTAAACATTAATTTTAATGGCAGAATCTTGAGCGCATTTGTAGTATAGATATCTTCTTGTAAGGAAAATGTTGTATTCAATGTGTTAGAATTTAACGCACTATATGTTTTTATAGTTAATAAAGTATATACTGTCATATTGATATATCTTAAAATCAGCAACTTTTAGTGGAACATTTTTAAAATTCTAAATTGAAACAATTCGGTACATTGATTTCATTGGGATAATCAACGTGCATAATTTCAATTTTTTTCACGTTATATTTTTTATTATAATGTATTCTTTAAAACTGTGTCAAATGTTCGAAATTTGCAATCCTAATATAGTATAAATTTCATTCCTTACCAAAGTTATTACATTTTAAATATATTACATCCCAATTTATTTGAAGAAAAGTGTCACATCTCTAAATTTGAAATTTGAAGACAATTTAAAAAAGACAGTTATTCAAACATTTTCATTTTTTAACTGTCACTGAGAAAAATGTCTGATTGAAAAGGGATAAATCAGAAGATTCTGATCAAGTATATCGATTAGAATTTCGTTATTTCAACTAGAAATCTAATAGATTTAATCGAAAAGTTCTGATTCGTTTATTTTTAACCAGAATTCCAATTAATCCAACTAGACATTTTTATCAATGTACTAAATAATATCACAAACGTGAAAGAAGATGTATCTATTTCTACAGATAAATGAAAATACTTACCTTCTAACAAAAAATGATATAATCTCCATTAGAATTTTATAACTATTCCAGCATCAATAATATTCCTTCACTGTATATCTAATGCAACAATGATTCTTTATTATAAACAATTATTGTGATCAAAGAACAAGCAATATATCTGTTTTCTGATGGTAAATTGAAAGAGAGCTACAAATGTGTCAATAAAAATGTAGTCTTTAGGGTCGATTTTCTTTCATTATCTCAAAACAATATTAAATTTTTACTTATGTCACTTTTACCAATGTGTGCAGCGATATATAAACTTTCAATATTCACTGGAATCTGAATGGCTAATAAAACTTTATTTAATTTCATTCCGGACGTTTACTAATAATGAAAAACATTGGCACTTGGATGTTTTTAATAAAAAAAAGTCAATTTGAAATTCATAAAAATATCTGAAAAATCTTGCCCGATAAAATTTTAACATCCAGCATATGTACCATGCGACAGATTAATGTCATGTCGGATTTATCAGATGTACATCGAGAAAAGTATTGGCGTTGCAAACAAAGAATAACGTGCAAACGCATATGCGTACGCGTACACACGTAAATCCGAATGACATGTTCAAAGAGAGATATAATTTTGTATAAATTTATACGCGGACGGTTTGCATGCGCAATGAGCTTTGGGTAAATGACGGGAAAACGAATATTTACCGCATCGGCGATATGCGGGTGCGAAACGGTGGTGAATTTGTGTTACACGACAGCATGCATACTATCCATATACGACGATTTGCTTGAATCGATGCAGTATTAATTATTTACGAAAGGAACACTGTTTCGTACAGTATAATATCGATTTTATTGCTTCTTTATGAGAAATACCTGTTTTCTACGATCTGAAGCGTTTCCCATCCGGAACGAAATGAAACGATTCGTACGAGCGCGATCGAATTCATGTAGCTTATTGTTAGACATCATAATCGGAAAGAAAAATGAAAATAAATGCGAAATGTGTTCAATTTCACAGATGTCGTTCTTCTATATTAATATATTTCATTTTTAAATCGAAAGATATCTTGCGATAGACGGTTATCTCTCTGTAAATAACTATCATAGCCATGTCTCAGCGCAAAACTCTTAGTCTTATATATGTTGTTATTTTTCTAAGAAATTTATATTTTGAAAGAAGGTTCTCTCTGCAATATTTAAATGACATTTACAAAGTACAAGTTAAATATGGATTATTCATTCTATATTCTTCTTATAGAATGAATCTCTTTAATTTCTAATACTTATGTTCATTTGGCAATAACATGCGAATCCTTTTAATACCTCTAAGATTTCTGATATCTAATTATTTTTAAAAAATTGATGGAGACAAATAGTTAGATTTATATACATGTTGCATTTAACAGATTGCCGATTCATTGTGTATCGTAACGAATATCCTAACGAAATGTTAATAAATTTTCCTAAATTGTTTGTCACACTTGATGTGTTCTTGCATGTGAAAATGAAAGTTGCGACAATGTTTGCAAAGTTACCTATATACATTGCCCGCATTTGGTAGCCCGCATTTGCGGTTTCTGTGTTGACCGAACAAAAATGACCAATGCAAACAATAAACAAATGTTCACCAAGTTACTGGCTGACAATATTGACTCTCTCTCCCTCCACCCTTCTTCCCTCCCCCTCCTCCTGTATTCCTCATCTTCTCCCCCTGGATGTTAAAATTAATTAGAATTTAAACAATTTTCTCTTTCTTTTTGTGATTTTTATATTGACTAAACAAAAATGACCAATGCAAATATTAAATAAATATTGTTGATCAAGTTACTGGTTGACAATATTGACTTCTCTTGCTCCGCTTCCCTACTTTTAATTTATTTTGTTCTACTTCATCATTTTTAAACGCGCAGATATCGATTGCAAGTAAAAAGTTAATGGAGATCATATAGATCAATACTCATATGTGTGCACGGAGAAAAATGTAACGTATATACACTCAAATTCTAGTAAA